TGCTCTCGTGCTCTCTGTCTCTCCCCCTCTCTTGCTTTTTCTCAGTTACAGACCCTCTCTGTAACAGCTCCTTTAATAAATCTCTTGGTCTCGGCCGGGTGCGGAGTCGTTACTGGCGCCGAAATCATTTCACTTATGGTTTCTAATTTTTGTTTGGCACTTAGTACAAGTAATTTCATAATATTTATCCTGTCTTCCCAACCACGTATTAAGGCCATTTTCTGTCTTTGTATAGTCCTCTCTCCTGAATATCTACCCTCCAAAATGTCTGGTGTCATAAAAAAATTCAATGTATTCTTTTGCTTAAGGGCCAGCTTTCTCTGTTGCCCAGGATGGAGTGCAGTGGCACACTCACGGCCACCCCAGCATTGACCCGCTGGGTTCTGGCGATCCTTCCATCTCAGTCTTCCAAGTAGCTAGAACTACAGGCACGTGCTACCACCCGGCTAATTTTTGATTTACTATAGAGACAAGGTCTCGCCAAGTTGCCCGGGCTGGTCTTGAATCCGCACACTCAGGCAATCCACTTGCCTTGGCCTCCCAAAGTGCTGGGATTACAGGCTGAGCCACTGAGACTGGCCTAATTTTTTTGATTTACTGTAGAGAAGAGGTCTCGCCAAGTTGCCCAGGTTGGTCTAGAACCCATGAGCTCAGGTAATTCTCTCACCTTGGCCTCCCAAAGTGTTGGGATTATAGGCGTGAGACACCACACTCGGCCATGGACAGTACGTAAGTTAACTGTATGCTGAGGACAAGTTTTGAACAAGGGTGCATTATAAACAAATCAAAAGAAATCCAGGTCGGTTGGGTGGTTCACGCCTGTAATCCCAGCACATTGGTAGGCCAAAGTGGGAGGATCACCTGACCAGGAGTTTGAGACCAACCTGGACAGCATAGTAAGAGATCCATAACACCCAAAATGCAAGATTTTTTTGTTTTTTGTTTTTGGGGGTTTTTATAGGCGGAGTCTCACTCTGTTGCACGAGCTGGAGTGCAGTGGCACACTCACGGCCACCGCAGCCTCGACCTGCTGGGCTCAGGTGATCCTTTCGCCTCAGCCTTCCAAGTAAATGGAACTACAGGCATGCGCCATCACGCCTAGTTAATTGTTTGATTTACTGTAAAGATGAGTTCTTGCCAAGTTACCCAGGCTGGTCTCGAACCCGTGGGCTCTGGCAATCCTCTCACCTCTGCCTCTCAAAGTGCTGGGATTACAGGCATGAGTCACTGTGCCCGGCTCAAATCAAGCTTTTTACATCAGAAAAGTTAATGAATCTCTCTGGGTTTTGATTACTTCATGTGCAAATTGCATCTGCTCTATCTCAAACAGCAATGAAAAGCTGCATGATTTAAAATAAGAAAAAAAGGGTAAACCACTAGTAATGAACTCAAAATATTTACCTCTGGCAACAGTTTTAATATCTTACCCATTCCCCAGGTGCAACCCATCTCATCATCTTGGCTACTAGCGTCTCTCTTCCCTTCAGAGGTGTCCACCTCTTCTTCATCTGAGTCTTCTCCCAGCATCTTCTTCTCCAACAACACTTGTTGCTGCTTGCGCAATTCCTTCAACTGCGTGACGGTTAACTCGGATTCTGCCTCTCGGTCTTCCTCTGGTCCCTGATGAACCAAGGCAGGAAAGTTCGTTTAGAGCTCAGGATCGTGGAAGTTGCTTTCGGAAACAGGGCCGTGTGGACAGAGGCCGGACACGGGGGCCAGCCGCTTCTCCGCGTCTGTCATCGCCCACCGGAGAGCTCCGAGACTTCAGTTTCGGTTCGCGCTACTTACCTGCAGGACGAAGAGCCGGGTGCTGCCCCCAAAGCGGAGCACATGCCCCACGTGGACCCGGCAGTAGGTGCGGGGCGGGACGCGAGTCTTGTTGAGAAAAGTGCCGTGGGTGCTTCCCAGGTCGTACAGGTAGAAGCCCGGCCCGCCGCCGGCGCTCGCGGGACCGGACGCCCGGTGCTGCAGCACAGCGTGGAACCGCGACACCGAGGGGTGCTCCAGGCACACGTCGCAGCCAGGCAGCCTCCCAAACAGGCAGCAGCTCGTCCCCTCCAGGCCGCGCGAGCCGAGGATGCTGCCACCC